TACACACACTGCCAACACACATTTCAGTTCAAACAACTTGTAAAAGTGCATGTAGCATCCTATGACCCCTTTAAAAAATGACAGTGAAGACATGTATTAAGTTACAAAAGAATTATGTTTAATGTACAGTGTTCAGCATTGATAATCAATAATCAGAAATGTTTCTTGAGCAGCAAATCAGCATATTAGAATGATTTCTGAAGATCATGTGACACTGAAGACTGGAGTAATGATGCTGAAAATTCAGCTGCGCATCACAGAAATTAATTCTCTTTTAAACAGAAATTCACATAGAAAACAGTTGGAAATTGTAATAATATTTTGCAATATTACTGTGTTTTTAATCAAATAAATGCAGCCTTGGTGAGCAGAAGAGACTTCTTTCAAAAAACATTTAGAAACATTTGGCCCGCCAGCAATAATATCTGGCCCACGCCCGCAGCCAGATTATTTTGTTAGCGGCTGGTTCTGAAATAGATCTGTCATGACAGCAACAGTTACTCACAATCACTTCGTCTTTAGTGATTTTGCCTTCAAAATAAAAGTATGAGAGCGTTTTTGAAGCAATGTTTTATTTTGAGATGAATTGAGAGCTTTTAATTTGAAAAGTTCTGAAAGACATTCAAAAGAGTCTGTGGATCGCTAGACACACCTCTAAAATAGCCGTCATGAAATGTGTGGTATGAAAAAACTAACAGTGAACCACTGAAACATAAAAGTAGGCTACGGCAAATCATTATTACAGTAAGTTAGGCTCCATTGTGTATCAAGCAAATTAAAATGATACACATTTATTACTTACAATATGGAAAGTGGAAATAAAACAGTTCGTATAAGAGCATGACTCAAACATTCCATTAATGGGCTTATTCAAGCAGTTATTTTTATCCATTCTGCATCTCCCACATATGTGTTTTAGCAAGGCGGTCTGTGGTGCACCATGTATTGGTTTATCAGTTCTTACCAGAAAAAAAGGAGGCAGTTCAGCCTTGCGTATAAAAGCTACAGTTATATGTTGCACAGCATGAGAAGAATTAAAATTCATTAATACATGTTCCCACAATTGCCTATGCTTTCTCTATTGTGTCAGATTCAGTTGATCATTTTTTAGAATCACTTTTTCTTCTGTTCAGCAGATCATCTGCTATGTGCACAATCTGCGTGAGAGCCCTCATTATCAGCACATCCATGTCATTTTGTGTATCAATCTCCTCATGGTAGTTCCTCACAGGGAAGATGTGGCTCACAGGGACTCCAACAGAATTAGAGCACTGCTGCATCTGTAGAATGAAGAACACAGGCTGAATATTTCTGGGGGTTGTAATATATATGTTTAAGAGCATATTCTTTTTATATATATGTTTGTGACGTTATAAATCTACTTGTGTGTCAGTGGAAAGAGCAGCTTCAATTATTAAAACTCAATCGTCGTTTTTTTGGACTAGCCATACTAATGATTTGCAGAAAATAATTTAAATAATGCATGTATTATTACTATGTTGTAAAGCTCTAGACTGTTAAACAAAACTGCAAGGTAAAGCCAGAGGTCTGACCCCACATTCTCTATCTGAGAACAGAGAGGACCTGTAATTACCTTCTCTTTTATCTTCTTGCTAGTGTAGATTTTTCTTAGGCTTTTTTTGACTAGTGGGCATGCTTCATCCACCCTCGTCATGATGACTGCCTGAGGAATTTCTGTTAAACGGAAACATACATTTAAATATTGATTCATTGTGTGATGTTACATTCTACATCATTTTGCTAGATTTGTGTGGCATGAAGAAAGTTTCAAAAACTTTGAATTATCCAAATAAACTATTGGACCCATTATTTACATTTTGGATTTTAAAAAAATGTATTATTGTTTTTAGAATCCTACAAAAAACACATTAGCGAGTCTTCTTTTAGTGAGTCACATTTATCATGTGGATATTTTAACAGATTATTAAAATGTATTGCTGATACTCACCCAGACTGCTGGCCTTCTGTCTAATATCTTTCATCTTTTTGAAGACTTCATGATTCATCAATGATACCTTGTCAGCTGCTATGACGTAGACCAGGCAGTATGTCAGATCCTCAGGGCTTGTTTCACTTTTGCAGTCGCTATTTTTATCAGAAGCAGATGGATTGAACTGAATGTAAAAATAAAAGAAAAACAAAGAGGTGAGAGGAAAGGCATTATGTTATAATTCTGCGGTGTCGATGCATTGTTTGAATAACATTGAAATAATTTCACAAAGCCACTTTAAAGCTGGGTAAATTAACAAATATTGTGTCCTTCCTTAAGGAGACCCTCGAGGCATTTGGCAATGTCTTCCGGATGTGCACCATGTGAGTCTTCGAGTTCTAAGCCCATGATGTCATTGAAGACAAAAGGCAGAACTGATTGTCCATTTCTTATGTAATATGTTCTGTACTGTAAATAAATGCAGAAGTATAACAATAAAATAAACAACTTGGGTATTTCAAATATATTTGTTATGGACATATACAAAAGCAACCAGCACGTAAAATGAGGCATTTGGATTATTTCATGTAGATGATTACTTTTGCTTGTTGGTGTAGAAGCTCCTAGTTGTCATATAGGGATTGGTTGGCATAAATTCAGATGCACACTTAAGTAATTCAATAATTTTAAAAGGGTCATGAACTGAGAAATCAAATGTACTATAAAAACATCTTGTAAGTTTCAAAACTTTAAAAACATCTTTTATTGAAACCAAGCTCAGAAAACGACTTGGTTTGGAATGTTCTACTCTATGATGTAATAGTGTGGATAGGCACCGCCTCCGCAGAAGAAGATCAACGCCTTGACATCACTGCCTCTTTAGCCCCGCCCACCGATTCTACATCACTGCATATTTAGCCCCACCCACTGATACGTGCATGTAGTAGGAGGAGAGGCAATAATAATAGTTGTGAAAAACAGTCTTTGAATTGCATTCCTTGTGATCATAACACCCTATCTCAATCTGACGCGAACGCTGTTGTGTCATGGCATGAATCCATTTCTCTTTCAGGTCAGAAGCATGCTAGTATGCTAGAAATAGAACAGGACATCAGTTTACTGTCTGGGATTTGTAGTGTCAATCTGTGCCGCATCACTCGCCGATTATAATGGGTTCTGTCGTCTATAGTCGCGTTGCGCTGTTTGCGTCCGGTGTAAACATGGTAAGAAAAGGAAAGACCTACAGATTGGGTCAGTGAAACACTGTTTGCTTGTTTGCTTTACTTTACTACGGATTCATTTTTAAACAAGACCGTGTGATGCAGGCTTTTTAAAGAGACTGAAAGTAAAATATTATGCAGTTCTGAGTCTGACGTTTGATATACTGAGAACATATACATTTTTAACCTAAATGACCCATGTAGTTTTCAGAGTACATAACAGCAGCATCCGTCTGTTATTTTAATAAGCGAAACTGTTGGCCAATCACAGCAGTATATATATATATATGTGTGTGTGTGTGTGTGTGACCCTGGACCACAAAACCAGTCATAAGGGTACATTTTGTGAAATTTATATTTATACATCAATGGAAAGATTATTTATTCAGCTTTCAGACGATGTATGGTTTGTTAGGATAGGACAATATTTGTCTGAGATACAACTATTTGTAAATCTGGAATCTGAGGGTGTAAAAAAATCAAAATATTGAGAAAATCATCTTTAAAGTTGTTCGAATGAAGTTCTTAGCAATGCATATCACTAATCAAAAATTACGTTTTTTTTTTGTTGATATACACTGAACAAAATTATAAACGCAACACTTTTGTTTTTGCCCCCTTTTTTCATGAGCTGAACTCAAAGATCTAAGACTTTTTCTATG